GCAATATGCTAGGGTAATGGTCTACCCATGGGCAATATGCTAGGGTAATGGTCTACCCATGAGCAATAGTCCCAGCCCCAGTAAGTTGATTTGAGCTGATACCAAGGTAGAGCAGTGCTATGGCATAGTTTGAAAACTGTAGTCTACCCTTTCTGGCTGAGTCCACCAGGACAACAATTGGCTCTCACTGGCTTTTTTTTTTTTTTTTTTTTTTTTTGCAATTATGCTTTATCATATGCATCTCACAGCTGATCCTGTCAAAGTATCACGCGTGGTTAGGTTGGAGTTTTTTTTCTGAGCACTACATAAAAATGCATTATTCCAATAAACGATGGCCTTTTTCCCCTCATTAACGAACGATAGTCGCTGTACGTAAACCTTCAAGTACTTACATCGATTAGGTCGGAGAGGTCGTGAATGTAGTACTTGAATACCGAGGCGTTGGTTGCTTCAAGTGTTAGGAGATACTCGTTCCGGGCTTTAATCGATTTCAGCTTATTTTCTGAATATTTTGCTTGTCTCTGGTAAGGAAGAAGACACAGGGATCAGGAATGGAAGTGAAGTCATTTTTAATAAGACAGAAACACACGCGGGGTTTCATTAATCTAAGCAATTTCTTCCATATATAAGAACGATCCTCTGGGTCCTTGGTGGAAAGTACATTTCTAATGTGATTTAAATAACAAACTAAACTTTCCCCGGCTCTGGGAATAACAACAATGCATTTGGGCTCCGGGCCCATTTCCACCGAACTCCCTTTGTTAAGATCCCAGTTCTCCAGATCTGTCCTGAATACTTGGCATTCACCACAGAATGATGTCCAGCTGTTATGACATAATTTCATGTGTCTTAACATCCTTCGCTCCCCCGGGAGGAAATGCATGTCTTTTCATAGTAATTCACCGTGTGTGTGTCTATCGCTGGTGGACCAGGGCTTTTTAGGACTGCCTTGTCTCCTCCGATGAGGAGCCCAGGGCTCTGCGACGCACTTCCTAACCTACCTTTTCCTTCATTTTTTCGATTTTCTTCACAGAGCTGCGCCTCTGGTGCTTCTCTTCCAGCCTGATATGGAAGACGGGGTCGCCCGACCTCCCAATCTGCTTCTCCTCTTGCTTCTCGGCTTCTTTCAGCTTGCTCTCCGCGCTGATGCTCTCCGCGTGGTACATGTGGTACGTTTTCATCACCTGGGAGGTGAGAAAGTGACCCAGATTGTGAAAAGATGTCTGCCTGTTCCAACTGGTATGGGGCAGGGGTGGGGTAAAGCCAGACTGTTAGTCAAACAGACGAATTTTGGCTCCTGCTTCTGTAGAAACCAAACAGATATGCAAATTCACCTGCTGGGAAGAGGAGTTTAGGGGACAGTCTCTGATGAAAAAATGATTTCCCGGGGCTCATGTGCGCTTTTCAACGTATGCAAAGTGTTCTTCCATGCAAAAGCATGCTCCCCTAAATCTCTTCTACATTATGAATTGGCAGCATAAGCTATCTATTCATGGATAAGTTTGAGTCTAGCTGGAATTCCACATTAGTACAATATTTACTGAACAAAATCTATTTGTCAAAATACCGACATAAATATTAAGGCTCACATATAGATTGGTTTAGTATAAAGACGGTTTTTCTAATTATAAAGTAATACTTTATAATCATCCTAGAAAAATAAATGATACAAAAAGGAAATTACAAAAACAAACAAAAATCAATAATAACACTGAAGATCTGGCATATAGTCAAGTCTTTTTCCTTTCTACATATCCTTCATTTTAAAATACCACATATTATCTCTCCAGTTGAAATTTGGGATCAACCAATATATATAATTTTAATGTGTTTTAGAATAAATATTTTGTGGTGTAGTATTTGTTAGAATGGGTGTGGGCATGTGTGTGTGTGTGTGTGCGTGCGCGCGCGTGCACGCGCATGTGGAGGCCAGGGTTGGCTGTTTTTTCCTCACATGCTTCCTACCCTTATTCTTTGGAAACACAGCCTTTTACTAAACCCCAAATTCAGTGATTTGGCTAGCCTGACTGGCTAATGAGCTTCAAGAATCCTCTTGATACACTCCTCACAGTGCTGGGTTCCCAGGATTCCCTTCCATGGACAGCTTCTTAAGTTTGATGTGGATCCTGAGGTTGTGAACTCAGGTCTTCACTGACTGAGTCATCTCTCCATCTGAATCACCAAAGGTACTTCTGAGATGTACGTTTAAGGCTGTACGGAGTTCCTGACCGCCTGTACCATACCTGACTAACTCGCTACTGTTGGCTGTCTTGGGAATGGGTTACACTAAAACCCTTCATGTGTACACAGTCTTACTTCTTTTCTTGGGAACGACACACACAATTAGTATGCTAGCAAAATTCAGGAATAAATGGAACATGAAAGTTTTACAGTATATCTTCTCTGTGGATGTGATAAACTCACATACTAAATCTTCAATTATTAAAAGCTTTGGGTATATGATCACTACAAGAACATTCATGAACACACTTGGGTCACCTAGGGCAATTTTCCTAAGGAAAAACTGTAATGTTAGAAAAAAACATGTACATATCTTTGTGTGACTTTGAAACACATTACTAAGTTTATACTCTTTAATTAAAAAAAAATAAAACCAAGCTGATCGATAATCTGTCAAAGTACTTCAAATAGCCTAGATATTTAACAAACATCTTCCTGGATAATAAAGGTATATTATTACTCTTTAAATTAAATTTAAAAAAAAATGCTACTATGTATTGTGTTTGTGTGGCTGCCCCGGAGGCTAGAGACATTGGCTCGCCCTGGAACTGGGGTTCTGAGCAGGGGTAAGCGATCTTTCATGGGTGCTGAGAACTGAACTTCGGTTCTTTGCAAGAGCTGGAAGCCTTTCAACTGCTGAGCCCTCTCTCAAGTCTTGGCGTTCACTCTACTCATAATATCTATCTATAATCTCTACATTCCTACCTACAGAAGAATAGTGGCAGTCAACATTTAAGAAAATTTCCCTGAAAATGTCAGTTTCCCCATATAATTTTAGTGCTGTATGCAGGGTTAGGTATCTGGGAAAACTCCAAAGGCTTGTACTTTGTGTACAATTATATTTGCTGAGAGAAACACGTAGGTGTGATACTCCAAAGCAACCCATTTACAGAAGGCAGATTTTCTTTCCCTCACAAATAACAAAGTTATCCAGATTCAATTTTGTAACTAAAGTGTTGTTAAGACATTGAGGTAATAGTAATGTTTTAAAGTAATAAACGTTCCTTTCCTCATTTGGAAAGATGAGTTTTGAAATCGATTGGAACCTGGATGTATCATTAAAATAAATGAACTCAGTTAAGCGGCTGTTTCTCTAGGCTGGCAGAAAAGGTAGGATGTGAACACTCCATTGAGGTCCCAGAGCGCACTCGCGGATTGACCATTCGGAAGAGTAAAGCCTGGGGCTGGTGGAGAGTCTTGCTTTCATCTACTGTGATTATCTCTTTAACTGTGCAGTCAGTACCAAGTAAAGCTTAACGACCAAGCAGTGGCGGCTTCTGTGGAACCATTGGAAAACTGTCTGTTTTCAGTCGGCACTGGACCTGGAGGAAGTCTGGTTGGCCACTCCAGTTTAAAAGCAAAGACAACAGCAGCTGGGCAGCTGGGGGATATGAAGGGAGTTATCCTGCAGCTGGGCAAACAGCGAAGTCAATGAATCTACGGCACACCTTGCATTTCAAGGCTGGGCTCTGTTTATACTCCCTGCCTGGAGCAAAGCCACATACCATGTAGGCCCCAGTGCCACTTACATCTTAAAATGACAGGGGGAAAAAAAATAATTCCACACATGGACACATACTCCACTCTCAGAAACTGCTTAGCTCTCTACTTTCCTGGCTAATACCAAGTTAGAAATAACAACATCCGCCCCAGCTGGATGAAACGGCAGCCCAGGCAGCGCTGGGCATCTGAGAATTTCTTTTTAATACGCTACTAAGAAAGAGACCTGTCTTCGTAAGTCTTGTGTTACTTGGCTGTGGGGGTGGGGGGGGTGGGGGCTAGATTAAGCATGTTTCATTGGCACAAACTGAGCCTAGAGCACAGGTAAGTAGACTAAGCCTACTTCTAGCATGGTGTGTGTTAAAAGGAGCACACTTGAGTCATGCTATCACGAGATAGCTTGAATGGGGGCAGGTATCTCACCGTAATGGGCGTTTAGTATGATAGCTCAGGGCTACTTTACTTACTTCAATAAACAACTTGCTTTGTTTGGTTTTCCAATTCGACTCAGGATTGCCACTCTTAAGTGTTAAGTGTCAGGGTGGATGAATTAAAAAAAAAAAAAAAAAAGATGAGAAAAAAATATCCCGAAAAGCCCTTTGAGAATTCTCATTGCGGATAATGAACACAAGCACAAATTTCATGGTTCAAAACGTAAGTGGACAGAAGTCAAATGAGTCTGTAGTTAAAATAGAGCAGCACGGAGCCCTCCTGGTTTTCAGAGAGGAAAAAAAAAAGAACTTTTGTATTTCTGAGCTGCAATTGGAAGAGGTTCTGCAAGGAAAACATCAGCGTTTGCTTCTGCTAATGCAAACATATCCTCTGCATACCGAATGACCCCGTGGACACATGCCTATTTAAATGGAGTCTCAGAGCCCATTTTCCTACTAGAATGCTTTTCTACTAAAAGTTCATGCATAATTCTGCAATCAGTATCCTCAAGTTACCATTCCCGAACTGCAGGAAAAATACAGTCCGGTAGAAGGATATCCTGACTGAGAACTGCTTTTTGTTTCTGTGTTTTTGTGTGTCAGTGTGTGTCCGCCGTGTGTGAGTTGTGTATGGCATGTGCAGGTGTACTTGTGGAGACCAGAAGAACGCACACAGCATGTTCTATTACTTCTCACCTCATTTTTTTGAGACAGGGGAACTGGACCGGAAGGCAGCAAGTCCCAGTGATCCTTCTGTCTCTGTTCTCCCACAGTGCCGGGGGTTACAGGTGCATGTGTGAGCACACCTGAGCTGTTACGTGGGTCCTGGGGATTTTTTTCCTTAGGACTTAGCCACTGAACCATCTCCCTAAGCCCACGTTACACATATTTTGTGTGAATTTGGGAAAATTTACAACAGAACCTTTGCACAGATACTGTTGATTTTTTTTTTCTTATTGAAAGGCCCAGGCCACGTAACTGACACCAGCCTTGTACTTTAAATCATAATAACTAAAATATCTCTGCTATATTTTAATCCTCTATATAAGAAGTTATCACACATCTGAAGCGATGTGTATGCTGGGGAAGGCCAGTGGGTTGAAGCTATGGTTTCTACTTTCCGATTTCTGGCTCAGACAGTAGAGACACAGACAGGAAGGGTGGATCACCAGTTACTCAGGGTGGAGACCATTAAATACCCTCCCACTCAACTCACAAAGTTATTGCGGATTCTACCATCACTAGACTTTATTGAGGACATATGTGTATGTCTCTATTTATAACATAAACACCATCAATTCTGATAGGTGCACACACACACACACATATGTATTTAGCCTATTAAGCACTATAAAATGCTTACTGCCTGCTAGACATGGTTCTAAGCGCTTTGCTAATTCTTCTAGTCACTCTTTGAGAGGTACATTTATTTTCCTCCTGCTAATATTTCAACCCATCCTCTGAGGCGAGCTTAAATCTATGGGTGGAAACCCCCTTTTCCTTTTTTTTTTTTTTTTTTTTGAGACAGGGTTTCTCTATGTAGCTTTGCGCCTTTCCTGGAACTCACTTGGTAGCCCAGGCTGGCCTCGAACTCACAGAGATCCGCCTGGCTCTGCCTCCCGAGTGCTGGGATTAAAGGCGTGCACCACCATCGCCTGGCCCCTTTTCCTTTCAACTCTCTCTCAACTTCCATGTTGATGGCACTCACGCTGCCTGCCATGCGTTAGAGTTCCGTGTGCCATCCAGTCTCTTGGCTGATCCTTGTAGAATCAGGTAGGATGCCAACAAGAGAACCCTATGCGCCTTCAGATCCTTAACTCTACTTCAGACACAACGTAGATGATGGAGACACTGGATGAGAAACAATGGAGGGTGGGCGCTCATTTCACAGCTTGCTCTTTCATTTAACAAACACTCGCTCACTAAATGCCTCCGATACGTCTGGCTCTTTTTTCATCCTTGGCATCCAAATTAGCACACTATTAAACACCTGCGATCAGACCAGGGTTAAA